ATGGTGATGATGTCACAGGTACCAGCTCTCCCCACCTCTCACACATGCATGGTGATGATGTCACAGGTACCAGCTCTCCCCACCGCTCACACATGGTGATGATGTCACAGGCGCCAGCTCTCCCCACCTCTCACACATATCACCTCCTTCCCACCTCTGAGGAAATACCCTTTTCACAGGTGGAGGGCCAAGGCTCAGGAGGATCATGGAGCTTGTACAAAGCCAGCAAGAGGGATTGGGAACTTGAGCTCAGTCTGCCTAAGGCCCCTTGAGGGAGGTCCACCTGTCTGTTTGCATCTGGCTCCTGCTGGCCCTTTGAACCTGGTGTCTGCCAGCTCATTCCTGCCTGCTTTAGAACTGCACAGTAAAGGGCCAGGCTGTTGAGGGGATGTCAGGCAGGAGAGGTCTTCTCTGGTTGCTGACTAGGAAGGCTCCCTGGAGCAGGAAGAATTTGAACTAGGCTTAAAAGGTGGGTGGGTCATGAAAATATGGCTCCTGGGTGAAGATGGGAGGTTCAGCAGCCTAGGAGAGGACCTTGAGGGCCGAGGGACTCACCATTCTCATTGGGCAGCAGTGTGTACTCAAGGATCTTGGTCAGGGTGTCCTTCAGGACTTCAGGCTGTGAGGGAGAGGGAAGGCATTAAAGGCTTACTGTCAGGTTCTCAGGGCTATTTCAGGTTCCCTGACTTGTCCTCCCATGACAAGAGCATCCAGCAGACATGTTGGAATACCAGGTCTCCTGCAGGCTGAAGCTGCCAGCGTCAGACCAGATAGACTGTGGAGAGCCTCACTGCTTTGGGGTGTGGCTAATTGAGAACTCTACACTCAGGGACTTTGTTTCAGCTGGAAGTGCCCGAGAGAATTCTGCTTTTGAAGAGAAACCAGATGTCCAGATTTTCACAAATCTTGCAGTAAACTACTGTTTTTCTAAACAAACCCCCATAGGAACCAATGGAGGGTCAGATGTGGTAATGAACACCTACAGTCCCAGCAGCCAGAAGGCAGAGGCGGGAGGATTGTCCTTAGTGTGAGGCAAGCTTGATGTACATAGTGAGTTCCAGGCTGGCCAGAGCTACAATGAGACCCTGCCCCAACAAACCAACCAGCCCCACCACCGTAACAGCAGCACACCACCACCAAAGCAAAACAAAATGAAACCCTAAAGCTGAAGACAAGAGCCAGCCCAGCTGATCTCTCTGGTTCAGGCTGGGGACTTGGGGAACTAAGGACCAGAGGAGAGAGGCTGCCCAGGGTCAGTGAATGGGCTTTGTTTTATAATAGAGAGCGGTGCAGACTTGTACGTAGTTGGTGTTCTCAGCTATACCTGCATACAGAAGGCGCTCAGTAGAAACAAGAGCCTGTAGGCTAGACTTTGGAGGGTAGTGAGATCACCAGCCCACCCCAGGGTTTCCTGTGATATCTCTTTCAAAGCAAATCCTTGTCAGTGTCTGATTTTAGAATGGCCCATTCTAGCCCCGTTCCCTTAGAGATAATCTGTTAATACTTACATCGAACAGTTTGATATCTGAGATCATCAGCTTGATGCGCTCAATGCTGTAACGGAAGATGCCCATGAGAGTGGCCCCTTGGAGTCTCTGTCAATAACTGTTTGTTTATTGAGGACCTGCTATGTGCACAGGCAGGCTCTCATGTGACAATGGTGAAGCAGGGAAAGTCCTTGCTTCATGGTATACACATTCTAAAAGGGCTGGACAGTGGCCCAAAGGACAGAAAAATCACCCAGGAACGGGGGTGGGAGGAGTTGGTGCACTAGTTAGCTCAAGTCCTTTCTGGGAGGGGTGTCCCTAATTTCTATTCAAGTACTTGTATAGAAATGGCAGCCTGGGTGACAGGATTGTTTAATTTTATATCTCTGTTGTTTGTTTGTCTTATTTACTATCTATCATCTATCTATCTATCTATCTATCTATCTATCTATCTATCTATCTATCTATCATCTATCTATCCATCCATCGTCTATCATCTGACACCTAGCTATTATCTCACCCCACATGGGCTGATCAGAATGCTCCCCTGAGCCTAACTTTATTGCCAGAGCCTCCAGTTGGAGTCCCTGAACTCATTCTGGGACAGAAGGTGGTAGATCTTACAGGACTGGCAGGGGCACAGAGGCCACTTCAGTACTGGGCCCCAAGGGTTCAGTACCTAGGCTGTTACTGCTTTTGTCTTGAAAATTTTCAGAATGGGCTGTTTAAAGTCTGGGGCAGTGTGTGCAGGCCAGTCTAGCGGTGGCCAGTCCAGTGGTGGGCTTGACTTGCTCTGTGGCTCCTGTAGAATCTCTTCATTTTCCATTTCATTTCTATTCAGCCCTTAAGGCAGGTCAGGCCTTGCAAGAAAGCCTTCTAGCATCAGCCCTCTCTGGTGCCCCCTGGTGGTGGGTTAGAGAAACCCATAGCCTGGGCAGCTCAGCAGCACTTCACACATTTACCTGACGTTATTGAAGTTGAGCATAAGCCGGTTGCCTTCTGTGAAAAACTGAGCTTCATAACTGGCCTCCTGCAACAAGACAACCCAGGCTTCAGTTTTTTTTTTAAAAAGAGAATGCATCTAGAAGGAGGGTTCTACAGGAAAGATTGGGGTCAAGGTAATCTGGCTACTGGCTCTGTGACCTTGGGAAAGTTTGATCTCTCTGACTTCATGTTCCACACCCTAGCCCCTGTTTCACAGGTGCTGCTTAAGGCTTGGGGATGACACTGTCAACACAGTCAAGACCTTCTGGCTGCTCCTGTGTGTCAGGCAGTTCAATAAGCCCTACCAGCCCTTGAGTGGGTCCTGTCAGTCCCCTGGTGTACACGAGAAGTGACTGAAGGGCAGAGGAGGTCAGAAGCTCTGATAAGCCCTGAGCAATGCTAGTATGATTAAAAGCTCAGAGGCTAAGTCAGGTTTGCCATTCAGGGCTCAAGACTTCCATTAGCTTGACCCAGAGGGCTGAGTACTGAGACCTATTACAGGGGAGCCGAGAGAACCAGTGTCTCTTGCAGAGTCTCCCGTCGGTCATGCAGAAGAAGACTTCTCTGCCTTTTTCTGCATTTTTCCTGATCGCATGTGGTTGCTGTCCTACTCTGACATATCCCTTCCTTCTGGGAGGTGGAGTTGTCTCTCAGCTGCTAAATGTTGCCTGATCTCTGGAAAATGGCCCTAGCTGGAATGTAGTTGCCTTGATGGGCGTTATGGTCCCTCTATCCCTAGGGGCTGCTGGTGTTAGTGACTAGCTGGTGGGCCTCCAAAGTTCTTGACTCTTGGTTCATCACCCTCCCTCCTCCCCATACTGTTAGGGGATACCCCAATTCATAACAATGAACAGAGCAACCTCCAGTCTTTATCCTGAGCCACAGACACTTAAACTCACAATGCCGAGAGAGAAGAAGGGCCGGACATCTGCATTGGTGGGGAACACTTCCAGCACAACACTTTGGGCTGCTGTGGCCCCACCCTCGTTCAGCATAATGTGGGGGGTGCTATGGGTGAAGATCTTCAACATCTGGGTGGGCCCCAGCTTGTTGGCTGCCTGGAAAGACATCAGACCCACACCTGACCACAGTGCACAGGCCCTTTGTGTCCCCTGTGGTGTTTCTTAGTGCTCCAGCCTCTGCCTTCCCATCACCCCAGTGTGGAGTACCACCTCCCTTCAGGGATGTTCTCTGGTTTCTTAGCCCGAAGCAGGGCTTAGAGTTGCCTCCATCACCCAGCCCCAGGCCATTGTCTGGCTTTCCCTGCATTTCTCTCGACTGCATGTGATTGCTGTCCTACTCTGACCCACCCCTTCTGTCTGGCGTAGGGACACTGCCCTTGCAATGGGTTGTCACTTGAGACTGAAGAAATCTCCGGGCTTCCAGGGGGCCTGGTTCCCTTAGTGGGAAAGAAGAGAGGAGCCCACATCTATTCTACTCTGCAGAGACCCATGAACAGTCAGCGAACACCTAGCGAGCTCCCGGTGGCAAACAGACCCACCTCTTCATTGATCTCCTTGATGTCCATTTGTAACTGGCGGGCCACATCAGGAATCTGGAGAGAGAGGAAGGGATGTGAGTTAGTTGCATTAGTCACACCTCAGTAATAGGATGAGAGTATGTGTTGGCACCCAGGCTCAGGAGAAATGAGGACCCTGATCAGTTAGAGATCTGTGCTACTGGGGTACAGTCACCCTCTCTGGATTCCTCAGTATCCAGAGTGCCCTGAAGCTCTCCCAGGATATTTGGAGGCAGAAACAGATACATCTGGTCTCTGAAGGCAGGGCCAGGCCCAAATTGGGTATTAAGGAAAGCCTTTGGCTCTAGCATTGAGCATCAGAATCAGTCTCTCTGAAGGGAGGGTAGAGCTGATCGTTACTGGGAGTTCCTACCTCAGGTCTCCTTTCAGTTGGCAGATGGCATAGGGGTGAGTCATCTCCATCCCCCACAGTGGGGCTTACCACGAATCTGAGCAGGATTACAAGCTCTTCCTTGGGGACCAGGGTAGTCACAACGGCATTCACCAGATCCTGCCTCACGGTCAGGCTGAAAGGGGCCCCGTCTGGGGTGGTCTCCACCGGGGAAGCCACAGAGCTGTTGAACCAGTTGGTTACCCTTGCCTGTGAGTCCAGCAGCTCGGCCTGAGGAGACACAGAGCAGGGCACAGTTGGAGGACTTTGGTACCTCATCATATCCTGTAACCAACTGGCAGGAAACACTGTGCTGAAGGGAAGGTGTCTCCCAAAGTTCTCCTGATGGAAACCTCATCCCAGCACAACAGTGTTGCGAGGTGGGCTCTTCAGGAGGTCTCTGGGCCTTGATCAATGGTTAGTGCTGTTGCAGGAGTGGCCTAGCTATTAGAGGTGGGAGTAGACCATTGTGAAAGGAAGCTCAACTCCTGGTTGCCCTTGCTCTCACCCTCCCCAACTCTTCTGTCTTCCATCACCAGCTGAAGCAGCATGGAGGCCAGAAGATGCATCATGTTCTTGGATTTTCAGCCTCCAGGACCATAAGCCTAGTACACGTCTAGTGTTTGTAAGTCACTCAGGTACTGTGTTCTGGCAACCCAAGATAGATTAAGGCAGATATCATTCTGCCTGTTTCCCACCTTTGCATTGTGTCAGGAAGTTTAGATTGATGAAGGCAATGGCCGTTGGGACCTGGCAGCCTCCCCTCCTGGGTCCCTTAGATTACCTCTGCCCTCCCTTCTTCCCTGTCTCAATTTCGTTTTCCATCCTTTTCTCTGTTCTTCTGTCTCACGTTTAAAAAGAGATGGTATATCCCTATGCCTCCTGGGACTGGCCCCTAATGCCTGAGCTCAAACGATCCTTTTGCCTCCTATCTTTAGAGCACCCAGGATTGTGGCTGCATGCTACCCATGCCTAGCTTGCAACCAGAATGCTTCTTTTCATTTAGGTTTTAACCTCTTAAACCCTTTAGGTGAAGGGAGGAGTCAAACTGCAACAGAGCAGATGGAACTATCCCACTCTGTGGTTTCCAAGACTTCTGAGAATCAGTCTGGGACTCACATCACCCACAGGATGTGCAGTGCGGGATTCTACAGAAGCCCATTGTTACTGAGCACCCCCTGTCTGGGAAGCCAGTGTGCTCATCTCATTGTCTCTTAAGTATAACCACTTATATTTTACAGCCATGGAAACAGAGAGGAGAAACCTGCCCAGAGCTACACGGCCAGGGAGTCGTGGGTCTGGGAGTTAGGGCTGTATGATCCTTGAGGATGCCTCTGTCCTGAAGCCACGCTGCAATGTCATCAGAAGTTTGGGGTTGGGCAGGAGCTTACCTGATACAAAGGCCCTGGGACCCATGTACACACAGGGTCGCGAGGTCTGAGGTCAGGTAGGGAGACATGAAGTTCTACCTGCTGACGTTCACAGGATGCTTAGTGTATGAGGCCGTTAGCTACATGCCCGATGATGTGTATGGTTACAGAAGAAGAGCTGTTCCCTAATGTCCCCAGTATGCTCTGAGGTCTGGATACTCACCTTCAGGTTGAACAGGATATTACTGTCCTGGATAGCAGGAGACAGAAGGTCAAACTCCAGGGCTCCGGGGCTGAGGGCAATGGGTGCTGCTCAGGGCAAGAAGAAAGGTTGTGAGGGTGGAGGGTGTGGTTGGATGGGGTGAATTTCTACTGCTGCTTCTTTCTGGCCATTAGGGACACTGCCAGAGTCAGGGGAAACGATGCTGTTGGTGGTAACCATGGCAATCATTGCAGGGATCACTCCAAACACCAGCACAGAGCTAGGCTTCCATGTGTTTAAAACCTCTGCTTCCCCCACCTCGTTGTAACCTACTCCTCAAGGCAGGCGGGGCTGGGACTGAACTCTGCTGGTGTGCACTCACTAGTTCACCCATCATCTGTGTTTGCCTTGGTTTCCTCCACGTGGTGGACAGGTGGCAGAGGCCACTCATCTGCCCAGATGTTGGGTGGAGAGCAAGAGTGCGTGGGCCTGCCCTGCCCTGCTTCAGCCCCTGTCACTGAGAGCAGAGCAGCTAGACAGACTTGGAGAGTCCCATAACATTAGTGCCTTCTAGCCTTGCATCTGATCTCTCTCCCTCTCCCTCCCCCCTCCCTCCCTCTCTCCCTCCCACACCCCTATAATTGGAGCAGGAAGAATCAGGTCCCAGCCTTCCCTTTCCCTACTATGAATCTCCTCTGTGAGCTCAGAGGTGGCATAAGCCGTATGCCTCAGTTTCCCCACATGTGCAGCTGGACAGTCGAGTACATTAAGGAGCTAAGGTGATGCATATATAGCACCCGGCCTGGATTTACTTCTCATATGCACCAGGGGCTCAGTGCTTTGTCCTGCTCCTCCCGTGCTGCTGTGGATACCCTTTGATGTGCCTCTCTGGATTTTAAATCATAACGTGGTAGGGTTTTCTTTCCCTTTCTTAATTCCTATTATGAGAGTGCTGAGCGGATCAATTGACAAGGTTGAACACAGAAGTCCATGTCTTCTCCTCTTTGCTATTCTCAAGGAGGGAGAAATGGCATCTGTTCTAGACATACAGTTCATCTCTGCCCCTTTCCCCTCCTCTCAGAATTACACAATAGGCCATCCTAATGTGGATGCATGCATGCATCCATTCATTCATCCACCCATCCATCCACCCACCCATCCATCCATCCATCCACCCATCCATCCATCCATCCATCCACCCATCCATCCATCCATCCACCCATCCATCCATCCATCCACCCACCCATTCATTCATCCACCCACCCATTCATTCATCCATCCATCCATCCATCCATCCA